GACGAGGCTCCGAGGCGGAAGAAGCCCAGCGTCCGCTGCGTTTTTGACTGGCCGCGCCGTGTATTTCTCCCCAGAGCTCCCTGAAGCTGTACCAGGACTCGCACCAGGAGTACGCCCGGGTGAAGGAGCAGTGCTTGAGGAGCGACGCCCAGTAAGTGCGGGGCGGCGGTCGCCTGCAGGGTGTCCCCCGGCCCCTCAGCCCCACTCACGGTGTGCCCCAGCAGCCTGGCCCCATCCGTAGCCTGGGGATCGCCCCTCCTCGGGAGGGGTGTGGAGGGGTGAGTGCGGCTGGCTGTCGCAGGCCGCAGAGAAAGCGCTGCGCCTGTGTGCCGTGAGTCCCGGCGCGGGGAGAGCGGTCACCCCTCCTGTGGCTCTCCCGCGGGTGGCGGAGTGTCCAGCCGCTATGAGACGGGCCGTCAGTGCCATACCGGTGGTCACTTCGAAGCACAGTGCAAAGCTGGCGCCACGCCCCCGCGGCCGGGCCAGCTGAGACGGGCGGGAGCCAGCTCCTCCGCGCCTCCCGGCCGCCCTCGGGCTCAGCCGCCAGCCTGAAGCTGGGGTCTGCGCCGCTCTCGGGGTGCTCCTGCAGGCGCGAGACGGTCCGAGCCCCGCTAGGGCGGGAGGGGCAGGTTTTGCGGGGCATCAGATGCTGACGCGTGGGGCTCGCGCTCGGCGCCCCTCACAGGCGCGGGGACGCTGCTGCCGCCACTGATGTTTTTGGCACACAAACCGCAGTGACCTGGAAAACACATGCCACCAGTTACAATTTTTTCTGCTAAATGACTTTTTTCATTGTTCTACCTTATAAAACTTGCTAGGAAGAAGAAACTCGAAGCCAAGGTGAAGAAACTGGAAGGTAATGGGCCCAGTGGGCCGCGCGGTGGGGCGGGGCGCTGCGAGCCTGGCCACCAGCGGGCCGGCGGGGACCCGGCTCCAGCGTCCCCTTCTGTCCTGCTTCGCGAGACGGTGGGGCGTGGGGTCAGTGCCGCACCACGGCAGGGCGACCCCTGCTGCCGGTCCTTGTGGTTCGCCCTGGGCTGTCATGGCCGCGAGAACCCTGCTGTGCTTCATCTGGTCTCTCCAAGAGGCCAGAGCAGGACTCAAGGTTCATGTGACAGGGCAAGCAGAAGCTCCTAGAAAAGTGGCCAGTCACTGACCTACCTAGTTGAGCCCGGCGTTTTAGACTTAAGCTCTGAGTGTCTGGGCCCGTGTCACCTCGGGCTGCCTGCACGCTGACGGTGTGCGGGAGACGCCGCACCTGCACCCGCTAGGTTACCGCCCTCCTGATGCGGCCGCGTTGCGAGGGGGGGTGATCGCAGAGCCCTGCGGCACCAGAGCCCAGGCAGCTTCCAGCACAGGTTTCCTTTACAGCCCAAGCCGGCCTTTACTTGGCAGGAGCATGGCCCCTCCGGGTCAGGCCGCACCCAGGGCCCTCCAGAGGGGTCCGGCCGCCGTGCTGTTCTGTGGACCCGACTTCTCATATCCAAGTGCGCAGAGCGTGCCGGGAATTCACTGCGGTCACGTACTTGAATCATTTAGAGCCGGAATAAAGACCAGGAGCGCCAGAGAAAAGCTGTCAAAATCTAGCGTAGATTTACAAGGTGTTAGCAGTGCGAGCACTCGGCCTGGGGAAGGGGTGACAGGCAGCTCTTCAGCGGGCCAGAAGATCGCCCTCCCCAAAGCCAGGGAGTGGCGTTACCAGCTCCTGAGAGCAACGTGCAGCTCCAGGCCAGCCGGGGCGTCAGCATTGGAGGTCGTGCGCTCGGGTCTTGCCGGAGTAGGGGTGAGGCTGCCTGTGCCCGGGCAGGACAGGGCGCCAGGACCCGAGCCGGGCCTGTGGCCACGGGCTGCGGTCTAGCCAGGCCGCCGCTGATAAAGCCGAAGGAACTGTACCTTTTTACAAGTACTGTTCCAGAGTTAAATGAGAAGCTCAGCCCATCAGATTCTGAGCGTTTCGTGAGTGGTCATCACCAAGGTGGTCAGTTACTTTGCTCTCCTCTCCATACTCTAAAGAGACTGCCGTCAAGCAGACTCAGGACTTCCGGCAACTGAGGAACGAGAAGAAGATACTAGAGAAGGAGTTTAGGAAGACGCAGGTAATGGGGTCTCACGCTCACGCGGCTCCGGGCTGCCCTGGCGTGCTCTGCGGGTGTCCAGCCGTCCGTGGGGCTTGGGACATGGCTCCTGTCCGGCACACCACCGGGCTTTCCTTTTTTAACAGGAAATGCTTGATGAGTTTTCTAAGCAGAAAGATGAAAAGGGTGAGTTTGCGGTTAACGCGTTGAAGAGTTCTGTTTGGCACGACGTGTGGCATTTTGTCTAATTGTCTCCCCACTTGTTCTCAGAGTTGAGACACATTGGAACGCAGATCTCGAGCGACGCCTGTGGGAGCATAGACAGACGTGAGTGTGCTGCCCCCGTCTCCGCGGGCAGGGACGGCCTTGTTCTTACCGTGGCTCTGGAAGTCCCAGGCCCTGCTAGACGGCTCGTGGTCAGAGAAGCCGGATAGATTCGCGCTTTGTCCCCTTGCTAGCTCGTGTGTGTGTTCTGCTTGCGCCCGACAACCGGAAGAATCAGGAAGCAGTTTAAGTTAGAGTCTGGGTAGATAGGAACTTCTGTACTTCTGAGTATGTAAATTTAGATTTTTTAATTGAATGATTTATAAAGTCAGTGGATTTAGCTCCTGGGTACCACATTTTCAAGAAGCTAATGTCAGCGGGAAACTGCTCAAAGCCACACGTCTGTGCCGGCCCCCGGGGCGGTCAGCGCAGAGCGGGGGCAGGCGGCCCTGGAGCAGGAGGCGCGGCCGGCGGCCTCACTCTGAGCCGCCTACTGTTGTGTGGCCTTGGCCACGTCCTTCCCTTTTGTTTTTCTCTTTGCCTGGACTTTTTTTTGGCGGCGATAGGCGCAAAATGTTAATACAGGTAATTTCATCTCGCTGGTCTGCAGCCTACGCTTCCATGGGCAGGGGGTCAGACCGGCTTGTCCTGGGCCGGCCCGTCTGTCTCTGAGTAGTCCCCTGGCCCTTGTCGTCGTTCACGCCTGACGCGATCTTTCCTGAGGCGTAAGGGTCAGGCCTGTCGTCCTTTGGGTTCTCTGCGCCCTGAGCTGCTGTGTGCCCTGGGGCTGCCGACTGACTCTGGTCTTTGCTCCTGCGTGGCACGTGAGACAGTGGTGGCAGCGCTGAGGCGGGGCCGGGGCGGGCGGCGCCGGCTTCCCAGCCTCGGGCAGCGTGGGCAGCGTCGGCGCTTCCGGGCGCCCGGCTGTCCCCTGCTGTCCCCCACAGAGCTCGCCCGTGCCCTCCACGGCAGCTCTCGTCCTGTTCTGGTCTCTGCAAAGCACGTGTCGGCGTCCAGGAGAGACTCGCGTCCCCACAGTGCGGGTCGTCGGCCCTCGCCGCTGCCCAGCACATCGGGGCAAACCGAAGGCTGCTGATTGCGTGGCTGTGTGCTTGATCCTGGGGCGTCTGGCGCAAGCGAGACCGTGGGTTGGGCCTGGCTGCCCGAGCGCCCACTTGCCTTCCACGGTCCGGTAGAACAAGGCAGTGAGAAGCAGCCTTCCTGTCTCGTTAACAGTTCACCCCGTGGAGGAAACGGTGTGAGCGGGGAGGGGCTGGGGGGTGCGGCAGCCGCTGGTGCAGAGACCGTGGCCGCCCTCACACGGGCTGCGGGCAGGCATCCCGCGCCCCGCCTGGTCCCAGGAGCCGTGGGCGGTGCCTGGCCAGAGGCGGGGAGAGCGCAGAGCCTCGCCAGGCCTTCCTGGGCTCTGCTGCAGGGCAGGAGCCCTAGGGACCTGGAGGGAGCTGGCCGAGCGGCGCACTGCAGCCACCTGCCAGGGGGGCGCTATCTGGCAGGCGTGAGGGGCGGGGTGCAGGGTCCCGGCAGCCTGACTAGGCAGAGCAGTCGTGGAAGCCAGCGGCGGCCCTTGGTTCCCAGACGTGTGGCAGAATCGGCCGTGTTCAGGAAATGTGCTGCTTTCTCGGAAAACGGGCAGTGACGCAGAGTGACCCAGACCGGCTGTCGCAGCCGGCACAGAAGCGACCCCCGTGGCTCGCAGAGCCCGCACGAGGCCACGGGCGCAGGCGGGCGCAGACGTCCGGCAACTCGGGTGAAAGCGCCCGTCCGTGCCTGTACGCGCAGGCGCGTTCCTCGCTGCCCCTCCCAGCCCGGCACCAGCCCCTCACCCGCACCTCGGGCGCAGCGGCCCTTCCTCAGACGCCTCGCTCCGGAGGCGGCCGCCGCGGCCCCTTGTCTTGAAGCGGCGGTTCTTCGCCCCTTGGACAGGCCTTTGGGAACGCGGGAGCGTGTCAGGTTCTACTCAGCGTGGCCCGGCGCGTCCGTGCCGCTGTCTCTGCACCGCGGCTGACGCCCTCGCTGCCGTGGGCC